CTCAAGATACTTATACACATGATAAATTATGTCTTGAATGTCCCAAAAATATAACTAATTTTTGAAAAAAATCGAAGTTACGGTCTTTTGACTTTGCATGGCAGCATGTCTACTTAGTTTTTATTCATTTTTATTTCTGTTTTAGTTACTGTATATGTACTGTATGTTTCATCATCCAGTCTGTAGAAATCCATTTCTATATATAAATACACATTAATTTTTCTCAATTATGAATGTAAAATCTGCAAATATGATCTGTTTCATGTCATTATTAGGTGTGATGCTGAGTCGTAACTATAAATATGAGGCTGTGAAAAAAGAATAGAACAGAATGCAATAATATATAATGTGAGTCAAAATGAAGACCTGAGCTATATAATTAGCCACTCGTGTGATTTTAAGATGCTGTCAGAAATGAGCTCATTACAGTAATTAACCAGCCAGAGCTCATCTCTGAACAAGAGCAGCGTGGGATACGAGAGAGGGGCCGCCTTATGTTACCCTCTCTGCTGAGGATGGGGAAGCTTATGATCTGTTTCAAGTCTTTTCACTCATTTTTTCATGGGAGATTTCACAGTAATAGAGATTATATTTGCTAGAAAAGCTGCATTTGAACTCTGACCTCGATGATTGCTCTGTTTTATTTAGAATATTTTATTGCGGAGTTTCAGAGGGGATATTCAAATAACCACACTTTTAAAGCCAACGGCTTGCATAAATGTATTACATAACACACACTTAATACATAATGCAAATGTGGCTTCTTATTTCTTCAAGATAAGCTGCAAAATCATCTGTTATAACTGAGAAATAAAATACATTCAGTGAGGATTATACGAGTAAAAAAAATCTGTAAATGCAACAATACGCAGTGCTAATTTCAAGTATTAATATCTCATGCACTTTTGCTTCTCTGTTAAATTTCTCTTGATTTAAAGGACTATTTGCTGAAAATGGCCCCAGCCTCAGACTATCCAAGATGTAGATGAGTTTGTTTCTTCATCAGATTTGGAGAAATGTAGCATTACATCACTTGCTCACCAGTGGATCCTTTGCAGTAAATGGGTGCCATCAGAATGAGAGTCCAAACAGCTGATAAAAACATCACAGTCCACAAGTAATTCACACAACTCCTGTCCATCGATTAACATCTTGTGAAGCCAAAAGCTGCATGTTTGTAAGAAACAAATCCATCGTCACAACGTTTTTACCTTTAAAGCTTCCACTACCAGCTGGAGGAAACTTTATTATGGATTAGGGACTTGTATTTTAGCCAGACGCAATGGTTTGAAGTTAAAAATCTTAATTATGGTCTTGTTTCATACAAACACACAGCTTTTGGCTTCTCAAGCTGTTAATTGATGGACTGGAGTCATGTGGATCACTTATGGATTATTGTGATGTTTTTATCAGCTGTTTGGACTCTCATTCTGACGGCACCCATTCACTGCGGATGCTCCACTGGTAAGCAAGTGCATTTATCCAAATCTGTTCCCATGAAGAGACAAACTCATCTACATCTTGGATGGCCTAAGGGTGAGGACATTTTCAGCAATTTTTATTTTTATTTTTGCGTGAACTATACCTTTATGGATGCATAGATATTTTTACTTGAAAAGTAAACAAAAATATTGGTTGTCAGGTATTTTTGCAGTGCATATTCTAGGAAAGCTTGTTTGATTCTTGTATTAGTTCACTTATTTTATCACAATACATTTTGGGAAAAGTATAAAAAGTATAAAAGTTGCATTGCTACTTTTATTTAGTTGCTTGCTCTTCTCAATACTGCATAAATGCATCAGCATTACATATTAGGTCCATATTAGGTACTAATATTAACGCTCGCTATTATTCGATTCTTTTCGTAGACACACTCAGACACACATTTGTTGGATAATATTTCCCTGAGTTATTACGAGAAGCCGTAACATGATGTTCAAAGTGCTCTGAAACAACATTCAGACAACAATCCATCAGGTTTGTGCCTTAGAAGGAACATAATTCACTTACTCCCAACTTTTCATTTGCATACTGAACCGTGTTATTTGCATAGTGGCAGTGTTGGTAATTTGCATGCCAGGCAGAGATGCAGGGAGTCGCTGCTCTGAGGTGATGCGCTCATGCCTCATACAACTTTTCCCCATTTGTCTACAATGACTACAACACTCGCACACAAACGCCTGTGATGATGGGGAATGCGGGCTTGCTTACCTTACTCTTTATGTCTCTTTGCATTCATTAAAAAATGGTTTGTTATAGACGGTAGAGCAGAAGTTGACTAAAATTATCCCATAGCGTATCTTGAAATGTGGACTTTTCCTGCGTTACACTTTGGATTCTAGTATGCATCATCCTGTGGCACAGAAAATCACAAACAAGATCTCGGTTTAATGTTTCTCTAATGTTTCTCAAGACAGCAAGAAAATTACATGGAGATCAAATTCTCCTGGGAAATCTCTTCAGAAGAGATCTCAACGGTAGTGTCTCAAACCGAGCTCAGATTTGCCTACCCTTACAAAAAAGAAGTATATTTCAAGTTCCTTTTATTAATGTCATGTGTATATTCTGTTTTGTTCTATTCTAGTCTAGTTTTCTGTCCCTGTTTGCCTGCCTGAGTTTTCTAGTTAGTTTCCTTAGTTGTTAATTAGTCACCCACACCTGTTCTGTTTTACCTTGATTGCACTTCTAGTATTTAAGCCCTGTCTTCCCATCTGTTACTTGTCAGGTATTGTTTGTGTTTCAGTTGTTGTGTCGTGTTTTCTCTTCTGTTGGTTTTATTATTAAAGACTCTTAGTTTTGAAATCTCATTCGTTGTGTGCTTACTACTGCACAACATGGTTACAATTAACTAGGGATGCACCCAAATAACATTTCTGGGCCGAAACCAAAAATTCTGGATGCGTTTGACCGAAAACCGAAATGGAAAATGCTTTTTAATAATTATTTAATATTTTATTAAATAATATAAAATAATTTTGCAAGAACTTTTAATTTAACTCAGTTTTAATGATGCTGCATTTTAATAATACAACCCAATAAAATAACCACACTGAAATTAAAACAATAAAATTTATTATTTTTATTCAGTTCTATGTAACTAATTAACTGAATTTTCTTTTGTTGTTTAATTGTCCAAATAATGTACGGCTATTATTGTATAGTTATAATGTATAGTTACTATTAATATTGAAGCTATTATTATCATCAGAGCATGTGAGTAGAGCATAGCGTCACGTGAGGTTAGCGTCATTTTACCAGTGTTGCCCAGTACAGTTATTATACCATGTTACAGCACAGTAGCACTATTGCAAACTGGAACAAGTATACTACATAGAAGATTCCTGTCGGCATGGACTTTGCTTTTGAGCGGTACACGAGTGGAGCGTTCACATGGGCTGTGAGCAACTCAGCGGAATGCACATTCATAGAGCGCCAGTGGTGGATAAAGTACTTGAAAGCCACACTTAAGTAAAATTACAAATTACCAGAAAATTACTTTGGTAGAAGTTAACGTCACCGTTTAAAACTTTTACTCAAGTAATATTCTAAAGTGTGTGATATTTATTGTACTTAAGTATGAAAAGTATTTTTATGCAAGTATTGAAAGTAAAAGTAAAATCAAAATATAAAAAGGAGCAAATATTGAAAAAAAAAAGTTCTATACACAGTTTGAGCAGCAAGATTGTGTTCAGTTTTAACTCTTGCTTCCATTTTGTATATTTGGGTTAGCACAAGAGCCACTTCATCTGGTATACGAAGACTCTTTCATTCGAACATAAGAAAACAGTCCTTGCAACTATAAAATCTGCATCTGAAGTGGCATTTAGATTTTTTTTCTTTAGGCTACACAGACTGTTTAATGCAGCTCAGAGGGAACATGGATGCATTTAACCAGCAGTTACAAATGCATAAATAGTGTTTGTTTTAAACATAAAACGTTGAATATTAATATTAAAAAAAAACAACATGAAAATATATTTGAAATTTAAAATTAAAGCCACCAGTAGGTGGCAGCAAGTTACTGTTAATGAGTGACTCATTGAATCATTCTTTCAAAAAAAATTCATTCAATAAGTAAACACCATCATGTGTGTTGCTCAGTGGCCTAAAACAGTTTGTAACTATTGACAGTTACAATTAAACTTGCATAAAATCAATAAAACATTTGCTGATATATGGAGAAAAACGGTACTCTTAGTGTGTTATAGATTCATATTAAATTATATAAATTAGGGCTGTCAGTCGAGCTGGGTGAGCCAGTGCATTAAATCACATTATTTTTTCATAACTAATTAATTAAGTTAACACATTAAAATGAAAGCCCTAATATAAATATAATCTTGAATCTTATCTTGAATCTTATGGGCATTCTAAATTGATTTTAATAGACTAAATCACGTGGTGTATGCGTGCACTCTCTGGGTATGTTTTTGTGATATACTCGATAATGTCAGATCGCACATCGCTAAAACAACAATAATGATATCGCAGACGACATGCTGTATGTCGCACACCCCAGCCTTGACTTGAGTGGAAAATGAAATCAACTGCAGTTGTGCAAGTACTTGTTTGCATATGCGCAAAGTTGTTGTTTTAGGAGTCTAACTTGCAAGTGCCAGACCACTGATTCGTCAAACCTGCTTTCTTGCAGTCTGTGTTTTTCTGACTTTATTTTGTAGTAAGTAACTATGGTGACCATATCTTAGTTTTCAAAAAAGAGGACACTGGGGGGTGGGTGGGGTTTGGTTGGATTTGGGTTTGAGGGGGGTTAAAGTAGCCCCCAAATTAGCGCAATGACCATATCCCATATCAAAACTCAAAAGAAGTAATTTCCATACCTGTAATGGAGCCGATGAGACGAGAGGCATGCGGATCCATATGCAAGCTTTTATTTACAGGCAGGGTCAACACAGGCAAGAGTCGGACACCAGCAAACAGATATGTAGAGGGCAAGACAAAAGAGGAATCCAAAACAAGCAATAATCCAATCGAGGTGCAAACACAGTCCGAATCAGCAAGGCAAAGGGTAAATCCAAGACAGGCTATAAACTTCAGGGCAGGCAGAAATCAGACAGGACGAGATAACAGTCTGTTTTCCCGTGTCTTGATCCTAGCCTATGAACAAGGCTAGACTCATGAACTTGGAAGGGCTACGTAAAGTAGCTATCCCTAGGTGAGCGATAAATGCTGAACAATACTCGGCGTTGAATGGTGTTGTGAGACTGATTTATATAGTGTGTGTTATTGGCAGCAGCTGTGTGTGATTGGCTTCAGGTGAGCTTGTGATTAGTGCAATGGAGCATGGGAAATGTAGTCCAGGGTGATGTGTAACAGTCTGTGTGGTGTGAGAGTCAATATAAAGGGAGGGCGACCTCTGGTGGAAAGCAGACGGAAGTTCATGGACAGGATTTGTGACAGAGCCCTTCCCAAGGAGCGGCTTCCAGACACTCCTAGAGCAGTACCATCCAGGAGGGTGGTGGAGCGGAGGTGGAACAGGGGGAGGGACGGAGGGCCAGGTCCACATGAAAGTGGAGAGACCGGGGACTGAAGCACAGCCAGCAGAGCAGGGCACCCAGGCGAAACTGGCGAAGAAGGAAGCCAGGAAGGAGCAAAGAACCAGGATGGGACCGGCAGAGCAGGGAGCCAGCTCGGAGCAGACGGAGCAGGAGCCCACCAGGGCGGAGCATACGGAGCAGAAGACCTCCACAGCAGAGCAGACGGAGCAGAAGCCCACCAGGGCGGAGCAGAAGCCCACCAGAACCAGACAGAAGACCACCACGGCGGAGCAGATGGAGCAGAAGCCCACCATAACCAGACAGAAGACCACCACGGTGGAGCAGACGAAGCAGAAGACCACCACGGCAGGCCAGAGTGATCAGGAACCCATGAACGCATTTATGGTCTCAAGGGCCGGAACAGGACATGCAGATAGTTATTTAACAGTCTCCTTGAGCCTGATAGACAGGACAGGAATTGGATTGGCAGTGACAGGGTTAACAGGGCAGACATGGTGTGCGTTCTTGGTTTCTGGGCTCATGACAGGCAGGGTTAAGAGTACAGAGGTGGGTTCTTGGGCTGTGACAGACAGGGCTGAAAGTTCCGTGTTGGTCTCCTTGAGAGTGGCTGGACAGACAGACCGTTCAAGATTGGGTGCATTAACAAAGACTGGTTGGGTTGACAGTAAATAAACAGGATCACTGACTGAAACTGGATGGGCAGACAGTTCAAAAACAGGCTCACTGACTGAAGCTAGACCGGAAGACAGTTCACAAACAGACTCATGGGTTGATATGGGATAGACTGACAGTTCAAAAGTGGGTGTGTTAACTGAAACTGGACTGGTAGATATTTCAGTGACTGAAACTGGACAAACAGATGGTGTATCAGACATATTATTTGAAATTAGTGGACAGACAGATAATTCAGAAACCAATTCATTAGCAGCCCTTAGACGAACATACAGTTCACATGTATCAAACATATTATTTGAAATTAGTGGACAGACAGATAATTCAGAAACCAATTCATTAGCAGCCCTTAGACAGACATACAGTTCACTATCAGCCTCCATGGCTGATTCAGAACAGGACAAGAGTTCAGAGATGGCCTCCTCAGCCAGTTCAGAGTAGGACAAAAGTTCAAAAGCGGCTTCTGTAGCCGTGACGGGACAGGCAAAGAGCTCACAGACGGCCTCCATAGCAGTGACAGGGCAGGATGAGGATTCACAGACGGCCTCCATAGCCGTGACAGGACAGGCAGAGAGCTCACTGACGGCCTCCATAGCCGTGACAGGGCAGGACGAGGATTCACAGATGGCCTCCATAGCCATGACAGGACAACCAGGAAGTTCACAGGTGGATACTACTGACACATCTGGAGGTTCTGCAGCGTATGCCACCACCTCTGGAGGTTCTACAGCAGTACCATCAGGAAATATAGAAAGTTCATTAATATTCTCTTTAACAGGACAGGTACTGCGTTCATCAACGGTTCCCTCGACCATGACATGACAGGCTGAGAGTGCATTGCTGGGCCCCACCACCGTACAAGGAGCTGAAGCAAGCGCCGCCGCCTCGGGAGTAACTCCACTACTTTGGGAGGTTCTGCAGCATCAGCCGCCACCTCTGGAAACATCATAGTAGGCGCTGCTGTTTCAAGAGTCTCAGTGGTGGTGTATGCAGCCCAAACACTCCATAACGTGATCCCCATTATGGGAAGCGCTACAGACAGGGGAATCGGATCAGGGACAGGAGGTCTAGAGCAGTGTTTCCCAACCTTTTTTTAGTCGCGGCACCCTTTGGAAATTTTAACAAATTTGTGGCACCCTACAAAATTAATTTTGTCACAATATTTGAATTTCTAACTTCGATATGATACTTTGAAAAGTATAGATAT